TCTTTTTCTCTCCCTCTTTCTCTCTATTTTCCACTCTGCCTTTCAAATACATATAAAAACAAACAAACAAACAAACAAACATTAAAATTGAAAGTCCTACTTTCCATTTAACCCCAGAGAATTTTTCTTGGCACCTTGCTCAGATAGCATGCATCTGCCATGAGCTGGACTCCGTCTCTTTTCAGAAATCTCCAACCTTATGTTCTTTATCTTCCACACTGCAACAGCCCCAGTTGCCTTTCACTCTGCCTCACCACAGACATTCAGGGTTTCTACCGCCAGGCTTCTCTTCCAGTTTACTTGTATGCTATTAGTCAGAGGTTTTCTTCTTTCCTCATCCTTCCCGCCTTCCCTCCTTGCCCCCTCCCTCTTTCCCTCTTCTTCTTCTGAAAGAATTTTATAGTCTTTCACACATTTTTAAGCTGATGTCTAATGTTTGTTATCCTGCATTCAAATAATCACAATGGATGTCAGTCCTTGTATATTGTCCATTTGCTTAGTCTGTTTAGCACATTTAATATCAAAAGTTTCAGACTTAGTTCATTCAGTTATGAAAAATGGCTGCCACATAATTTTCAAAGCCAGTTTTTCTGTCCAACTAACCAACAAATTCAGGTTAATTTCTAACAAAAATGACCTGCCTTAACTTCTTCAATTCAAACAAACCTGTTCCTGCTTTTGAAATCTAATTCTAAGACAGGTAAACAAACAGGAACAGATTTCCAGTTTGTTGACAAAAAAAGATGCAGTGAGACGTGTCTAATTTCAATATTTCCTTCCTGTGCCTGTTTTACTTTGCTTTCAAAGGCTTTTCCCTTTGGTGCCATGTGGTTATCTAATCACCCTTTTTGTTTGGTACTCATGAGAGGTTTGCACCTCAGGGAAAAAGACAGCAGAGTAAAAATTGGAATGACTGAGGCATTCTGTTGTACCAGAAGGAAAAAAACAATTGCATTAGGGAGGTGAGCAAGAGAACTGGACCACATTCTCCTCTTAGATAGATTAGTTTTAGAAAACAGTAGCTATGAAAGTTGAATATCAAGACATTGATTTCCTTAACAGTATCTATGCCTGTACGTCCTCTGGGTGTATGAACAGGATTTCAAGACAGTTGCAGTTGATTCCATTCTAAACAAAGACGTGTCTCTCCCTGAGAAATAGTCTGTCTTTTCCTTATAAAATAGCCGTATTTTTCAGGGCTTTTCAGATATCATGCTTGACGTGGTTATATAAATGGTGTGTGCTGTGCAGACCATGCAGAGTTTATAGTGCTTGTAAAATCTGAGTGCCGGAATGAAGTCCAGACCCCTGAGCAACAGGAGGTACACCAGGAGCTTGTCCCCTCAATGCTCTTAGGCTGAGCCACATTTTTCTGTAAAAGGCTGGATTAAATATTTTAGGCTTTATGCAATGTAAGATCTCTGTTGCTGCCATTCAGCTCTGCCACTGTAGTGCAAAAATCGTCATAGATAACAAATAAACAAGTAAGCATTGCTGTTTACCAATAAAACTTTATTTAGAAATCAGGAAGTGAGTTGGATTTGATTGGCTGTTTATAGTTTACCCGTCCATGCTATTAGCTATGTCCTCAGCAGGAAAAAGGGAGAATGGTAAGCTCAGACCAGTGATTTCCAAAAAGCACATTGGCATTCCTTCTTCAGATGTAATTGATATAATTACAATGGGAATATAATTACAATAGAAATGATATGATTTTTGAGTACTTCTGAAATCCTGGCCAATCAAGAGTTCAATAAAAGTTAATCGAATCATCTAGTTGTATGGTTGATAATAAAAAAATAAAATTCTTTCTCATAGTATGTCCATGCTAATAAAGCCTAGTATCTTCCAGTAGGATTTTTCCAAATTATTTTTCTAAGTTAGACTTAGAAAATATAAGAATAGTTGAAGAAAAAATGTAAAGAAAGTATTGGTATTACTATCTGCCCATGGTTTTTCAAGATGGTTTTCAGTAGGTAATAATGTTTTTGGTTCTTAACATAAGCTATTGGTAGTTTGGGCCACATGCATGACACAGGGTATGTGTTGGTAATGCCCAAAGTAAAACAAGTGTTCACTGTTTGAGAATTGCCTTAGAAAGCACCCAGAGCCCTTGTATAATGAGTTATCTTTTATGTCCTCATTAAATAGCTAATGACTTACTTCTACAGATAATGGTAGAAAACATTCCATATTTTAAAATGTTTGGAAATATTAGTATAGTTAGCTGTCTTTACTGCAGAATTTTTCAAAGCCTTTAAAATACTAATGTGTCCAGTGAGTCTCCAGGAGCATGGAACATTTTGCACATTTGGTTGCATATGCAACATTTGTCTTCCATCAAACACTGGACATGTTAGAAACCATTCATTGACACAATTTGGAGAAACTGGTATTCAGTTTGTGAAGATGCAGAAGGCCTATCTACTGTTTTACCATCAGTTTTGGTAGAAGATAAAAACAAAAAGAGCCCATAGGGTTCTTGTCTCCTTTTAACATTAGGTCACATAGTTCTGGGAAAATAAGCACAAGGTCTTAGTTTAATAAAGAATAGTGCTCGTGCTATATGTCATTGTTTCCTTGTTCAACTGTTTAGTCTCCCTCAGCCTAAAATAGGAGGGTTCCAGACTCTCTAGTCTCCAAATTCTCCAGAATGGCCCTGAGGACCATCCTTAGATGGCCTTTGTGGTCTCTTCCTGATCCAGCACATAGAGCCCATCTTCTGGGCGAACTAGACCTATTGCTACTTTCTGAAAACTTAGATTTTAGTGGATTTTTGTGACTCATGTTTCTGCAGTGTTCTCTTTGTTCTTCCTTTTTCCTTTGACCAGATTTTATATTTTTATAAAAAAGAAGATTTATTCATTCATTCATTATGGGAGTCAGAGAGAGAGAGAGAGAGAGAGGCAGAGGACTTCCATTTGCTGGTTTACTCTCCAGGTGGCCACAATGGACAGTGCTGGGCCAGACCAAAGCCAGGAACCAGGAGCTTCATCCAGATCCACACATGGATGGCAAGGGCCCAAACATTTGGGCTATCTTCTACTGCTTTTCCCAGGTCATTAGCAGGGAGTTGGATTTCGAAGTAGAGCAGCTGGGACATGCACCTGCATTCATATGGGATGCCAGTGTTGCAGGTGGTGGTTTTACCCTCCTTGCCACAATGCTAACCCCTCTTGAACTAGAATTTCTACCCATTTATCTCACAGTGTTGAAGCTGGACCATTTTGTAATTTGTTATGGACTCATTAAGGTCAACTCTAGAGACAGATACAGAGAATATTTTTCTTTTCCTCTAGTCAAACATGAACCCTATCTGCTTTTAACTATCATATAATATTTAACGTCTCATAGAATAGTTACCTTGCCTAGGTGATACACCAGTTACCTGTGTGATTGTTCTTTAACTTCCTACTAGACTAAGCAAGAGCTATGCCTTAGTTGTTTTAATACTGATAGAACCTGACTCAGTGTCTGCTGCCTCCCTACTTGGTGCTAAGGGACCTGTCAAGTTCAATGCAGTTCAGAGGCACCCTTGTAAGGATTATGAGAACCAGAGGCAAAAACCTCAGTTCCCAGACTCCATTGACTAAAGATGTTTGCATCTGACTCCTCAGGTGTACTATCTATAATGACAGACAAGGTTGTCTGTGCAGCACACAACCAGCTTTGAGTAAGCCTCATCCAGAGTCATGGGAAGCTATAGCTCCAGACTCTGTATCTCACTCTCATCCACACAGTCCCTGTATGGTGGGAAATAAATGTGAAAGAAAACAGTGGTCTGATTGAACTAGCCTGCAGTGTTATTAACTTTTACTAAGCAAGTACTGTCAAAACCAAATGGAAAGCTGAGTTGGTTTTAACAAATTTTCAAAATGTAGACATTTTACTTGAAATATCATGAACCAGACTATTTAATTTGACTGATAGGCTCTGACCATACTTTGGGTGGTAGGAAGCTTCTAGTCTTTATCAGGTGACTTCAGTGTAAATATTAGATAAAATATGCATGTTACATTAGGGAGGTTTGATGCAGCTTGTTTAGGAGGGTTCGTCATTCCAGCCGAGGTTCACCTGTCCCATTGTTCCTTTCCTAATGTTCTTTTGGAGCCTTCTGAAATGAATGATTAAAAGTGAACACAAGGAGCCGGTGCTATGGTGTAGCAGGTAAAGCCTCTCCCTGCAGTGCTGCATCCCATATGGGCACCGGATCGAGTCCCAGCTGCTCCACCTCCAATCCAGCTCTCTGCTGTGGCCTGGGAAATCAGTGAAAGATGGCCCAAGTTCTTGGGCCTCCACATCCACGTGGGAGACCCTGGCTCCTGGCTTCGGACCAGTCCAGCTCTGGCTGTTGTGGCCATCTGGGGAGTGAACCAGCAGATGGAAGACCTTTCTCTCTCTGCCTCTCTGTAACTCTGCCTTTCAAATAACATAAATAAATCTTAAAAAAAAAAAAAAAAAGGAAAAACAAAATGATTTAACAGGGGCATGTAGAAGAAGAAAGCCAAGTTGCTTCTCATATCTTTTCTTTGTGCTTTTGATGCCAGTCTTTTATTGTCTTTTCCTTAAGTGGAATGAGAATTTGGACAAGAAAGAGAAAGATAAGTGAAAATTGAACACCTTTCTGACAAGGACTATCTTAGTCATTTGATAGCCATAGGACTGAGAGAACCAAAGTGGGATCACAATTCACCATGTTACAGAAAAGGAAGCAAAAAATAACAGCCATACAAAGGTACATGAAAATACATGCATCTTTATTTTCCATAGTACGCAATGTCCTATGAACTTGTTGAAGGCCCCTCATATGCATGTATTTCAAAAAGTTTTTGCACCAGAATAAATTTCTCTTTTCATTCCATTTTTCGCTAACCTTTTGAAGTGCCTTTGTAGTAGTACTCTGCTTGCTGTCGGAAGCAATATTTAGCCTGTGTTTGTAAGCTTATGTGAAATGACTTTCTGATCTCAATAGTCCATATTTTTTACAATTATCTTTACAGGTAAAGATAAGATTAAGCTGTCTGAGGATGAATTGAAGAAACTCCTTCTAATTAAATGGTGTATTTTGGAAGCCGTTCGCTTAAGAGCCCCTGGTATCATTACTAGAAAAGTGATGAAGCCAGTTAAAATTTTGGTGAGCTTTGTTTTTGTTTTGAAATAATCAGTCATCTAGAAAAAAGTACATACTTTGCTCGTGTATTTTATTACGTGTATTTATTTTAGTTGATGAAAATTATATATATATATATGTCATGTCCAACATGTTTTCAACTATGAATACAGCGTAGAATGGCTAAATCAAGCTAACTGACACATGCATTATCTTACATGCTTTTTTTTTTTTTTGTGGTAAGAATACTTAAAATCTCTTTCAGAATTTTCAAGAATATAATTCACTGTTATTAACTGCAGTCCCCATGTTGTACCACAGACCTCTTAGACTATTCCTCCCATCTAACTCGAATTTTGTATCCTTTGATCATTATCTCCTCAAGCTCATCCTGCCGCTATGCCCTGGTATCCACCATTCCACTCTGTACTTCTATGAGTTTAGCTTTTCTAGATTCCACATGTAAGTGAGTTCATTTGGTATTTGTCTTTCTGGGCCTGGCCTATTTCAGTTAACATAATGTCTCTCAAGTTCATCTTGTTGCAAATGACAGGATTTCCCTTCTTTTTTAAGGCTGAACAGTATTCCAGTGTGTATGTACCTATGTGTATTATATAACATTTTTTACCCATTCATCTTTTTTTTTTTTACTTTTTAGAGAATACTTTATTGCTTTATTGCAATCAAACGTAAGTAGATAAGACCTTACATATTTAAAAGAGGGTGTTATCCCTGTACAAATGGAAAAAAGTTAAGTTTAACGTTTCTACACCAATATAGCTGTCAATTTCTATACAACACAAACTCAGATAGTAAACTGGGATACTTTTTTTAAAGTAGACAGCACAGCTAAAGTTTTCAAATATTCAATAATATGTGTGTGTGTGCATTTTTTCTATTAAAAGACCAGTAATAGCATTATGTAACATATTAATAGCAGCAACAGCTTTTCCAGGTTCTGCAGTTATCTGAACAATATTATAGAGACACCTAGCATACTCCATTAAAGTGGAAGGGGGGTAAAAAACAAAACCCTCCAAAATAGCAAAATTCTCTTACTGTTCTACCTAGCATCATTTAAAAAATTGGTTTCTTTTTTTAAATTTTATTTTATTTTTTAATTTACATAAAGGGAGTAGATTTCATGTATTTCATATATACAGTTTTAAGAACGTAATAATAATTCCCTCCCTATCCCCCAACCCTCACTGTCCTTCCCTCCCTCCTTGTATCCTACTTCTTCATGCTTTTCTTAGTTTTCCTTTAATTTTTACAATGATATAGTTTCAATTTTCTTTATAACCACAAGCTTAACCCTCCACTAAATGTAAAGAATTCAACAAGTAGAAAGTAGAAAAGCCACTGTTTCTTCCAGGTCTCCCACATGGGTGCGGGGGCCCAAGCACTTTTTGCCATCTTTCACTGCTTTCCCAGGCCATAGGTAGAGAGCTGAATCAGAAGAGGAGCAGCTGGGTGAGGATGTGGGGAAAAAGGGACACTAACCCACTTTTAGTGGGACTGCAAATTGGTAAAGCGACTATGGAAATCAGTTTGGAGATTCCTCAGAAACTTGAATATAACCCTACCATACAACCCAGCCATCCACTCCTTGGAATTTACCCAAAGGAAATTAAATTGGCAAATAAAGAGTTGTCTGCACCTCAATGTTTATTGCAGCTCAATTCACAGTAGCTAAGACCTGGAATCAAACTCAATGCCCATCAACAGTAGACTGGATAAAGAAATTATGGGATATGTACTCTATAGAATACTATACAGCAGTAAAAAAAAATGAAATCCGGTCATTTGCAACAAAATGGAGAAATCTGGAAAACATCATGCTGAGTGAAATAAGCCAGTCCCAAAGGGACAAATATCATATGTTCTCCCTGATCGGAGACAACTAACCAAGCACCTACAAGAAAACCTATTGAAGTGAAATGGACACTATGAGAAACAATGACTTGATCAGCCCTTGTCCTGACTGTCAAGGAACAACTTACTACTTTATTCCTTTTAGTATTTTTTTGTTCTACTTAATACCATTGGTTGAACTCTTTAATTAACACACAATTATTCTTAGGTGTTTAAATTTAACTGAAAAATGATCCCTGTTAAATATAAGAGTGGGAATAAGAGAGGGAGGAGATGTACAGTTTGCCACATGCTCAATTGGACTTACCCCTAATGGTAGAGTTAGAAATGGGCCAGGGGATTCCAATTAAATAGCTTCAAGGTAGCATATACCAATGCCATCTCACTAGTCAAAGTGATCAGTTTCAGCTCACAGTTGATCATAATGATAGGATTAAGAGTGAAAGGGATCACATAAACAAGACTAGTGTCTGCTATTACTAACTGATAGAATTAAAAAGGAGAGAATGATATAACATGGGAAGCAGGGTACACAGCAGACTCATAGAATGGCAGATGTCCTATCATCACTCTGGCCTCAGAATCAGTCCTTAAGGCATTCGGATCTGGCTAAAAAGTCCATGAGAGTATTTCAGGCATGGAAAGCCAAGACACTGTGGCAAGTATCTAATAATGGAACACAGCATAGAGAAAAAAAAACAAAACCTAAATGAAAGATCTCTGAGTGACATCCCAGCAGAAAGAACGGGCCATCAAAGAAGGAAGTACCTTTCTCTGAAGGGAGGAGAGAACTTCCACTTTGACTATGACCTTGTCTAAATAATATCAGAATTGGCAAACTCAACAGGCTTCCATAACCTTGGCAGCTCATGACAAGAGCCTCGGGTGATTACTGATGTCGTAAATAAGAGTGTCAGTTGTTAAATCAACAACAGGAGTCACTGTGCACTTACTCCCCATTTAGGATCTCTGTCCTTAATGTACTCAAACAGTACTTTAGACTTTGTGTTTCTGTGTGGGTGCAAACTGTTGAAATATTTACCTGTTAGAGGACTATTTAACTTCATATCTCTTTATTTACTTCTTTACTTCTCTTTCTTTCCTTTTCCTTCCTTCCCTTCTTTTTTCTTCCAATTTGTGTGTGTGTGAGAGAAAGACAGAAAGACAGAGACAGAGACACAAAGAGAGAAAGAGAGAGGAGAGAGGAGAGAGAGAGAGAGAGAATTGATCAATCTTCCATCCATTGGTTCACTTTCCAAATGGCCACAACAGCCAGGTCTGACCCAAGCTGATGTCAGGAGTGGGTGGCAGGGCTGCAAGTACTTTGCCCATCTTCTACTGCTTTCTCAGGCACATTAGCAGGAAACTGGATTGGAAATGGAGCATCTGGGACTCAAGCTGTCACTCTAGTTTGGGATGCTGGTGTAAAGTGGCAGCTTAATCCACCGGACCACAATGCCAGCATCTGAATTATGTTCTAGTATTAGATTACAGTCAAAGGATATAAACACATTTATGATTTACTGCATGTAATCCTCTTACAAGACAACTATTTTATAGAGCCATCGACTCTGGATTCTGAATAAAATTTCTTAATACTGTCTTTTGCAATCAAATGTATGGAACTGACGACCTTTATGCATAGTGAAATAAGCCTGCCACCCAAACAGAAATATAACATGTTTTCTCTGATATGTGGCAGTTAATATAGAATACCAAAGAAAGTTTAATTATGAAACAGACACTATATGATTTGATTATTACTTATAGCCATTGTCTATATTCCTGTAGAACAGTGGTCTTTCTACTTTCTACTTGTTCAACATTATGGTTAGTGGTGCATTAAAACCTGTGGTTAAAAAATTGAAAGTATGTTATTGCAAAAACCAAAGGATAAAAGAAAAGAAAGGATATAAGAAAGGGTGATTGACAGAGTGAAGGGGGAGGGAAGGAAGTATGGTTATCTTCTATGAAATACATGAAATCTGTCCTCCTTATATTAATAAACTTTTAAAAAATAACTAGAAATAATAGATATCTGAAACAATTTAAGTAATTATTAAGGAATAATTACTTAAAAACCTTCACATCCTCATACCCACACTTTCTTCTTAGAGAACATCAGGCTTAAATACATCCAGGCTCCTTCCAAGCCTCTGGCTGGTTGAGACTGTGAGCAGTGCGGCAGGTCCAGAGACATGTGCTCAGGCTGCTGTCTCCTGAGAATGTGCCAGTGCTTTCTTTCATTGTTTTTCATAGTATCTTTTAATACTTGCATAAGATGCAGTGTTTCCTGTACTTGTGATATCTTTTCTAAATACAATAAAAACCATCCTTCCTCTAAGGAGGCCCAAACTAAACATTGAAGAGTTAGGACTTTGATTAAAACAAAACAAAACGAAAAACTTGCGAAGCTTTTTCTTCTTATTAAATGAGGAAAACATGACCATTAGGAGGAAAGAAAACTATAAAAAAGAAGCTAAAAGAATGAATTAAAAATTGCTTCCATAGCCTTGGCAACTCATGACAAGAGCCTCAGGTGATTACTGACACCATAAACAAGAGTGTCAATTGTTAAATCAACAACAGGAGTCACTGTGCACTTACTCCCCAGGTAGGATCTCTGTCCTTAATGTACTCAAACAGTACTTTAGACTTTGTGTTTCTGTGTGGGTGCAAACTGTTGAAATATTTACCTGTTAGAGGACTATTTAACTTCATATCTCTTTATTTACTTCTTTACTTCTCTTTCTTTCCTTTTCCTTCCTTCCCTTCTTTTTTCTTCCAATTTGTGTGTGTGTGAGAGAAAGACAGAAAGACAGAGACAGAGACACAAAGAGAGAAAGAGAGAGGAGAGAGGAGAGAGAGAGAGAGAGAATTGATCAATCTTCCATCCATTGGTTCACTTTCCAAATGGCCACAACAGCCAGGTCTGACCCAAGCTGATGTCAGGAGTGGGTGGCAGGGCTGCAAGTACTTTGCCCATCTTCTACTGCTTTCTCAGGCACATTAGCAGGAAACTGGATTGGAAATGGAGCATCTGGGACTCAAGCTGTCACTCTAGTTTGGGATGCTGGTGTAAAGTGGCAGCTTAATCCACCGGACCACAATGCCAGCATCTGAATTATGTTCTAGTATTAGATTACAGT